TGTTTTCTACAATGTCTTGCATGCAAAAAAACAAGTACGTGCAGTTCGTACTTCACGTCTATATGTATATGAGTAATGTTATTGGAACCTAATTTACTGACTTAATTTTTTGACCTAATTCACTATGACCTTTAGATTAACTGTGGGCTCCATAAAACATTAGAATTTGGTGTTTATCCAATGGTTTCAATGAAGCCACATCATTAGGTCAGCAAATTATGTAAAATTTTTAGGTTCAAATAACATTTTCCTATGTATATACATTGTAATTAACTTGTTGAAAAACATAATGCAAGAGTCAAATATGCTAGCAAGGCAAAGCAAAGCAATGTATTCATGCAAAAAAAACAAAACACATGCAAGCCGTGTTTCACACACGCGCACGCGTCTATGTGAACACAAGAACAAGTTTTGTTCTTAAAGGAGGAGCAATCTTACCTTTATGGTCATTTTTGTCTCGAAAGGAAAAGTTTTTTTTTTTTTTTTTTTTGTAATTAAACTGAAAGAAAAATATGAGTTGAAATTATTTTCGAGATCTAATTATATTGAAAATAAATTGTCTCAAATATTTGAACTCACACGACCAATCTAATAGTTACGATAAATGAAGCACTCAAATTTGGTTTATTTAACATTCTGTTACTGTTGATTATATATCTATGTTAGTAAAACTATATATCAAGAGCATCTAACCAAAACGAAGCTTTAAACCCTTGACAAGAAGGATGCGGGGAGATTGATTTGGAAGGAGACTCAATTAACGTGATGAAGCTGTTATTCGATTTTGATAGCGTTTTTTTTTATCCTTTGGACCTTATTTTAAGGACATAAGGCTTTGTCTACATAATTTTCGGTATTATAATGTGTCTAGGGTCAGATGTGTAGGAAACAAATTAGCACATAGACTTGTTAGATACGCTATTCATGTTGATTGTTTTGCTGCATGAGAGGAGGCGGCTCCGAATTTCATAATGCCCCTCCTCCTTTCGAATTCTCTTTATTAATCGAAATTCTACCATTTTTCTCCAAAAAAAAAAAAAAACTATTGACCCATATGATTTGCCGGAATTACAAAATAACTATATTATAAAAAGACCCAACTTTTTCTTTCTTTCTTTTTCCGTGTGAAAGAACCTAGTAATTTTGATCACATTAAAGCACCACTTTTCCAACGAGCCTTCCTCCGTTAATTAGGGCAGTCAATGAATCGATTTTTAATTCAAATTTGATTTAAAATCGAAGATTTAGTATCATGACTAACACAAGTATAGTCTAAACTTAATATCTAGGTGTCTTAAGTTCATATATAGGGGCGGAGCTAGGACTTTTGTACAGTGGGGCCAACCTCTAATTCATTGTTAAATTAATACCATAATGCCAAGACTATTTAATTCACACGCAAACATATTGATCCTTCGATATATATTTAATTTTAATAAAGCTATTAGAACCATAGGAAGAAATTTATGTCTGATTTTAATTCATGCACGAATCCTACTTATTTATTAAAATATAAAAATTAATTTTATGTGGACTTAAATATTTAATTTATGATGATCAAATGGGGTGATGATGGTTAATATGGTCCAATAATATTATTATAAGGGCTAATCTTACTTTGTATCACAAAAGAAGTTTCGATTCTCAATTTATATTATGAATCAATAGTAATGTGAACTTAGCCTAGACTGTCTTTTAGTTTTATGTCATAAATTAAAAAACGGGAGGTGTAAGTTCTTTGTCAAAACCTCGTCACTTGACGAATACTTAGATTAACAAATTAAGTGTAATTTTTAGGTACCCAAAGTATATTCAAGTACAAAGGTACGTAGCTAAGATTCTTAGTTGGGGTAAATTGTAAAAAATTCTAAAAATCTCAAATGAACCCAAAAAATTTTCAGGAGGATTGCAATGGGGACAGTTACCCCCGTTGCCTTCATTGTGAATCCGTCCCTGTTGGTATATGATTGATTGAATTCTTACAGATGTGTGACAAACTATTACACAACAGATGGAAGAATTCAGTTGATAAGCTTAATGTTGGTTTTATATTTTTTACCTTTTTTGTTTGCAAAAAGGATACAGTCTCTGAGTCCTCATAAATCTTGAACCACACAAATAAAAGGCTGGCTCTTTTGGAACCTACCATTGAATAGTTGTTCCAATTTCCATCAATTGATGGGCATTTTCCTGTAATCTACAATGTAATGATCAATATTGGCAGACAATGTGTACATTGCTTACAAGAAAATAGGGTAGTGCCTTATCAGGAATTGACCTACCATTCATAAGGACCGTGACTAGGTGCTTGTAGGCTTTTATATCATATTGTAGGGAGAGGGATAGGGATACTGACCTCTCTCTCTGTCTCTCTCCATTTAGTTTGCTCTATGTTGGAAGGCCACTTCTATGGGGGCTCCTTAGGCCTAAGAAATTGCTAATTAATGCATCAGGGTAATTTAGTTGGAAAAAGGTGATTACTGCATCGAGTTCCTAAATTCAAGTCTTGCAAGAAGAATTTTATTTGACCCGATACAAGTGATTATAGATGGGGTTATACATTTTAAATTGAGTTATACCCACAAATCTAAAATAATGGGATTGAACGTGGGTTGAGATAATTCTAAATTGTGAACAAAGTCAAAAATCTTAAAGAATTGGAGTACAAAAAAGATATAATTCCTGACATATCTAAACTATAATTTCCCAATCTTGAATTCGCATTGTTAAACTGTTGAACATGCACATTATTCTTGAAATTTTCTTTTAAAAAAGAAAAAAGAAAAAAAAATCATTTGCAAGAAAAAAGATTAATTAATGTAGAACATGAGATGTGAAAAGTGAGCCAATGGCTCCGAATGCCGTGCACTTGAAGAAAAAGATCCTTAATTAAATATAATAAACAAAATAAAACCGTAGTGTTATGGTCGTTTTCTTCTCTTCTTTTTCAAACTGGGTAGTGGTATAGTCCACCAGTAACCTTCCGCTTGAATAGTTTACTGTGNCTGGCTTTGTTTTAGTAGAAAATATCATTATAATTTGGCGCTTTTTGTAAAAAAATGTGTGAAGCAATCTATGGGGGTGATCGATACATTGATTGTCTATCCCCATAAGAGGTGACACAACGAAAACATTGTTATAATCATAGACTTTTTTAAATTTGATATGACGTGAGGGAGATTTTCTTCCTTGGAATGGTGCATATTTTTATCTAGTTGTATTAGAGTTAGTAGCTGACGGCAAAGCGCTTGAGAGACACATAGTAATTTAGGCTGACTTTAACGTACTATTTTGGATAATGGAAAGCAGCATCTTAACCTATAGTTGAATACGAAGGCAATCAAGACAATCATCCTCGTGAACTGGATAAAATGTTGGAAAACTTTCTGTTTCCTTTTCATTAAAAACAAAGCAAAATGGGTGCGTAACCTGGCAGTAAAAAAAAGTGATGTATGACTAAAAAAACGAAAGGACGAAGAACATTTTGGAATAACAAAAATTCGAAAGTACAAGAGCAAATAATCACTATTACGTGCCTAATTCATTGTTGTATTGCAAATTTTGTAATTGTTAGGAATTATCCGCAAATCAAGTGCAGCAGTTAACTTTGAATTTGATAAAAAATATTAAAACCCAAAACGTTTAGGTTTATATCTCACTCTTTATTTGATAATTTTTGACTTGGGATATATTAATGCAAGTAGTTATAGTTGTTCTATTTAGAACTAATAGTCGAGTCAAGTTATTTAGAGTCGGTTCAAATAGGGCTTGACTTGTATAGAGCTTGACTCCAGTTTAAAGAATTTTTTAAGCTCGTTTAGAAAAATGAACCTAAAAAGACTCGGCCCGAACTTGTTTCATTTATGTATAAAATAGTTAAGCTACTTAGGTTCGGTTTGGTTTGACCTTGATTTGAAAAATAAGTCGAACTTAAACAATTTTTTAGTTTCGTTTAAAAAATCGAGCTCAACAGGTTCAGTTCGAACTCACAAAACTTAGATCCATTATCAACCCTAATTCTATTCTATTCTTTGGAAGGTTTTTTTGTTGGTGGGAAAGGTTTTGGTCATGTAACAGTGCCACGATTGAGAATAGGCCATGTCCAATTTGATCTTTTTTATAGAAGCTCACCAAACAAGAAAACAAGCAAAATAATAGAGGTTCTCACAAACAAGCATGGCAAATATAAGAAAAGAGTGCTTAGTTGTTAAGCATTCAGACGGACAAGTAATTCAGTGTGGCAGACCCCCACACCAAGTGTAACCAAATGATCATCTTGCTAGTTAATTTTATAAGATTCTTATTCAAGATCACTGTACCTTACGAACCTAACATGGGCCTTGTGGGTTTGCTAATAAAAGAAAACACTAGTCTTAATTGATGTGGGCCTGAATCTCTAAATGTTCGTTGTGACTTAATTTGTCATACATCTATGCTTTTTTTTTAATGGGCTTTATAATGGACGCAACCACCCTGGAAAATGGACTCTCCTAGCCTGCTGGTATAAATTTTGGACCTAAAACACATTTATGTATACTAAGCCCATGGGCTCAGCCACCTTTCACTTATGGGCCTTGGCCCCCTCATGTTTTTCAAACCAAAAAACAAAAACACTAATGTATCTATAATTTATAATATAAAACATGACAGGTTTCAATAAGTTTATTTGACGGTCTTAAATAAATTCATTCAATGACCACTAACATTCCTCTCAAAATCATTCACAATATTGCATCGTGATTTCAAGCACGAATTATCTCTAATACATATATATAGTCCTTAACACAAGAATACAATAATTCTTGTTTATTACACAAATTGCCATAATTGATTAGTAGACATAATTCACCTCAACCAAGCAGGTAATTAAGGTTGACATACTACACAAAATAGTAGAGTGTAAATATCATTCGGACCCCCTAGGTTTTGGTGAAATGACACGGAATTTCCCTGACATTCCAAAAATAACACAAGATCCCAATCGACAATTCCAAGTGGGGCTAATCCATCAACTTCATTACTTTCTTCCAAGAAGGCCTGTTTGAAATATTAATCCACCAAGAGTTCACATTCTTCCTCTCTGTCACTAAATGTCCAAGTCCAGCTTCATTCATAACATACCGAATGCCCGGAAGGTGACTTAGATCAGCAAGAGTGAAAGAATCTCCGGCAAGGTAGCTGCTCTTCGACAACCTCTGCTCGTACACGTCGAGTACTTTCTCAAGCTTTTTCTGACAGTTATGAACCACTGCCATGTTGCTATTCTCCCCCATTCGTGGGAGGACCACCAGTTGAAGCACCACCGCGTAAACTAAGTCGTTGAAATTGTGTGCTTCGACTTCTAGCCATTGATCAACTAGAGCTCTCTCCTCTAGAGTAGTTCCTAGTAGGTTAGGACCATTGCTTGCGTACTTTGCTGCATAATACCTAATGATCGCCCTAGACTCTGAAGAAAATTGAAGAACCCAACATGAGCCAAAGAAAATAACCCTTTTGTTTTAGTTATGTTTATTATACACAATATATATAAGAAGGGAACATGTTTCATGAAAATATATTTTTAATGATAATACAGAATAATGTAGCAGCCGTATTATTTGTAAATATCATGACATTAATGTTTTTCTTTTTTGTTTCAGAAATGAAAATTTGTTAATATGGCACATGATTTTGTGTGCAAATTATTGTGTAAATTATCGGACTATGTAGTATTGTTGAGATAAAAACAATTGCTATGAAATAAAATTAAAAAAAAAAAAAAAAGCCTGTAATTTTCATGGTTGTAGCTTCGGAGGGGAAATGACTTTGGTCATGACCGTTAGAAATGGTAAGGGTAACCTTGCGTGAAAAATAATATCGGGTGTAATCGTTACATTATATCAATAGTATCACGTAATATAAATGGTCCACTAATACATAAACGAGTAATGCTAGATGGACTTAAAATCTAGACTTGATAATTACAATCATTGATTCACTATGGGTCCCAGCATTTATTGAGTCTCACTACTCTTTTAATGGATGTGATTATCAAAGCTAGTTTTTAAGTCCATCTAACATTATTAGGTCCCACTAAAATTAATAACCACCAAGTCATATTATATAGAGTAATGCTACACTGACCAAATTTGGAACTCAAATGACATGACAATTGATTATTTAAAATTTTTATTGGGGCCCAAATGACACGACATCAATCAAAGAAGCTCAAGTCAACTATCATGTCATTTGGACTCNATAAAAACAATTGCTATGAAATAAAATTAAAAAAAAAAAAAAAAGCCTGTAATTTTCATGGTTGTAGCTTCGGAGGGGAAATGACTTTGGTCATGACCGTTAGAAATGGTAAGGGTAACCTTGCGTGAAAAATAATATCGGGTGTAATCGTTACATTATATCAGTAGTATCACGTAATATAAATGGTCCACTAATACATAAACGAGTAATGCTAGATGGACTTAAAATCTAGACTTGATAATTACAATCATTGATTCACTATGGGTCCCAGCATTTATTGAGTCTCACTACTCTTTTAATGGATGTGATTATCAAAGCTAGTTTTTAAGTCCATCTAACATTATTAGGTCCCACTAAAATTAATAACCACCAAGTCATATTATATAGAGTAATGCTACACTGACCAAATTTGGAACTCAAATGACATGACAATTGATTATTTAAAATTTTTATTGGGGCCCAAATGACACGACATCAATCAAAGAAGCTCAAGTCAACTATCATGTCATTTGGACTCTAAATTTGATTCCAAAATTTAGTCAGTCTAACATTACTGTATTATATATATATATATAATTACCTCCATAATAGAAAATAGACCCTATTTTACTTTTTTTATTCTTATTTTACTGAATGATTACATCATATTAACCTTACGGACATAGTCTAACGGTTACACTCGAAAGAAGAATCGCTAACATAGTCTAACGGTTAGCATTGCCCACACACTCTAACGGTTACCCTCGATATTTACTCCTGTGTATGACCCAGTTGTAGGTTGCTTTTATTTTTGGGTAAATGACACTTTAACCCCTTTATTTGATAAATATTTTACTCTCTCTAGACAAAAAACTCGAATACATTGAATGCTCAATTTTTCCAATTGGTTTCTTTTTTGTCAATTCTGACAACGGCGAGTAGGATGGGGAGAGAAACATGATAGGGATATCTTTTGGGAAATTTTTATCAATAAATCCCACTTTGCATTTAAAGAAACTATTAAATCCTACCGAATTCTACAAGACTATTAACACTGGACTTAGATTACAATACTAAAAAATAATTTTTTGATACTAGTCATTTTTTTGTGTGTCAATCGCAATGTAACATGTGTACATGTAAGGGGTCTGTACTGTCAATAAACAAATGCGTATTACAAATATGCAGGTCAAAAATAAAAAAAAATACGTATCCATGACTTTGCTCTTCTTAAATTCTAAATTTTTTTCTTCCTCTTTTTCTTCTTAACAATTATTTGATTGCAAAAAAAATAAAATAAAGTGGTACTAGACACTTCACAAGAAGTTTTTTGAGGTTTTTTTTTTCCTTTTTTAACAGATTTTTAAGTTTGTCGTTATCTATTAGAATGATATAAAATGAAATTGATACTTTAAAGTGTACTATAAAAAATTTTATAATTAAGGGTATAAAGTAAAACAAGGGCAATAACTCATAGCGATAAAGTATAATTTATTCTAATTTGTTCCACTGGTCCTCAAACTCAGGACTGTAACTCTGTCAGTGGGGTAGTTCAGAAATAGTTAAAATGCTGCATGTTCTTACCAAAAAGCCTGAACTCGCCATCCTCAATGGCAGGAACTTGTCCAAAGGGCTACAAAAAAACCAAAGAAATTCATCATTAAAAAATTAAGGAAAAAAAATCAAATGAAAACAGTGTTGTTAAACAATCCAAACAATTCGAAGTCGGCTTAGACTCCACAAGTAGAAGAAGGGTGTGGAGAAAGACTTGAGTTCTCTGACCTGTCGGAGTAGGAACTCCGGCCGCTTGTGTTCTCCAGATTCAAGGTCGACATGGATGAGCTCAAAATCAACTCCCATCTCTACAAGGCAAACCATCACCCTCTGTGGACAAGCCGCCATTACAGGACCATACACTTTCACCACCATCTTTAAACAGTGCTATTGTCACATACGCTATAAAGGGTATATGTTGATTCTTGCCGATTCTGTGAGAAACCCACCTCTTAAATAGCAAGAACTATGTATGGGTGGGTCCAATCTCCGAGCTAACAGACAATGTGGGTCTTAAATGTCAGTTGAGCAAACAACTGTAACTAATATCTATAAATTCTCATGCAATCTTTGACGATTAGGCTCCGCAGCGACTTTTAAACAACTTAATTTCAACAACATCCCGTAGATCTGATCTGACAAAAAGATGGAAGTGGCATGTGAGAGAAAGGTGGTTTGGTTTGCTACCATTCTCCATGGGAAGTGACCGATGTCTGTTGAAAAGGTTAACAACTTAATGTTTTTTTTACAGCAATGTTACACCGACAAAAAATATTCATTCTAAATGATATGACAGTTGATTTCAATTTATTTATTTAGTGTCATGTCAATGATCAAGATATTCGGGTCAACTTATATGTATTTTAATTAATTCTTTCTCCGCTTCAATCAAAGACAGATCATTCATTCCGTCTCTATTACTAGTTGAGATATTCATTGAAATTAAGAATTTAATTCATATCGTTATTAGATCACTTGCGTTTGTATTTTTTTCAAAAAATAGATCAACTATGAGTTTTAATATTAAATAAATTTTTTAATTTTTACCTAACAAATATAATGAATTAAAAACTCTAATTAGATACTTAAATTAAATAAAAATAAAAAATTTCTATGTGACAGCAAAACGATGACTAAAATTTGGGAGGGGGGGGGAAAGAGTGACCAAACCACTTGTCAAACATTATTTGAGGATGGAAATGCAGATGGTGGTGGAAAAAGTAAGGAAGATTATGGTATTATATTGAAATTTATAATTAAAAATAAATTAGTAGAGCTAATTTTGATTTAAAAAATATTAATTGCAACTGGTTGTAGCTAAATTGTGATCGATTATGATATTATATTGAGATATATAAATTGTGGGCAATTGGTCCTTTTCTATTACCCAATTTGTTTCTCAATAAAAAAATTCAAATAATGCACCTCTGACCACGAAGAAATGTAGAAAAGGAACGCACAATGCTTTGCACGTCCTGTCCGATGGTCATCAACCACCGCTCCATATATGTCACTACACACTTTTTGTTTTTATTCGGTATTCAAAGTAAAGAACGGAAGATAAGGTAACTCATAAGTTAGGTAGATATGTTATTATTGTTGAGGGTTAATTCTTTTAGCGGTCTTTAAAATATAAAATTTATTATATTTTGGTCATTAATATTTTAATTGAATTATTTTAATCATTTTAATCTTTTTAATCCTTGAAGTATTGAATATGTTTTTATATGATCTTTCAAATTGACAACTTCCAAATTATTAACGATTTTTTTATTATAAACTTGTCATGTAATATTTAAATACAGACAAAAAATAATTTTAACAGCTCTGAATCAAAATTTGGGTAGCTCTTAACACAAAAATGTTTAATATGAATAACTTTTGACCAAAATTTGGATAAGTCATGATTAAAACTGTGAAATTTAGACAACTATTTAATCAAAATTTGGTCAAGAGTTATCTAAATTATTTTTTGTCTATATTTAAATATTGTGTGATAAATTTATGATAAAAAATCGTTAACAATTTGAACGCTGTCTGCTTGAAAGAACATATAAAAATATTTTGAATAATTTAGTGGCCAAAATAATTCAATTAAAATATTTGAGACTAAAATGAGATACACTCTATACTTTAAGGATCTACGCTACAATTAACCCTATTGGTGATTGTGTGGTTGTATGGGAGGAGGAGACACTAACTTTTGTTGCGCCCCTCCTCCTCTCAAATGTTTATATTTAATTAAAGAGTAATGTTATTGAAACTTAATTTACTATGACCTTTAAATTAACTGTGAGCTCCATCAAATATTGAAACTTGGTATTTATCCAACTATTCTAATAAAATCACTTCGTTAGGTCAGCGAATTATGTCATATTTTTAAGTTCAAATAATATTTTCCTTAATTAAATTTCTATCGTTTCTATCAAAAAAATTTAATTCTNTAATTAAAGAGTAATGTTATTGAAACTTAATTTACTATGACCTTTAAATTAACTGTGGGCTCCATCAAATATTGAAACTTGGTATTTATCCAACTATTCTAATAAAATCACTTCGTTAGGTCAGCAAATTATGTCATATTTTTAAGTCCAAATAATATTTTCCTTAATTAAATTTCTATCGTTTCTATCAAAAAAATTTAATTANACCATCTCTAAACAGTATATGTTGGTTCTTGCCGATTCTGTGAGAAACCCACCTCTTAAATAGCAAGAACTATGTATGGGTGGGTCCAATCTCCGAGCTAACAGACAATGTGGGTCTTAAATGTCAGTTGAGCAAACAACTGTAACTAATATCTATAAATTCTCATGCAATCTTTGACGATTAGGCTCCGCAGCGACTTTTAAACAACTTAATTTCAACAACATCCCGTAGATCTGATCTGACAAAAAGATGGAAGTGGCATGTGAGAGAAAGGTGGTTTGGTTTGCTACCATTCTCCATGGGAAGTGACCGATGTCTGTTGAAAAGGTTAACAACTTAATGTTTTTTTTACAGCAATGTTACACCGACAAAAAATATTCATTCTAAATGATATGACAGTTGATTTTAATTTATTTATTTAGTGTCATGTCAATGGTCAAGATATTCGGGTCAACTTATATGTATTTTAATTAATTCCTTCTCCGCTTCAATCAAAGACAGATCATTCGTTCCGTCTTTATTACTAGTTGAGATATTCATTGAAATTAAGAATTTAATTCATATCGTTATTAGATCACTTGCGTTTGTATTTTTTTCAAAAAATAGATCAACTATGAGTTTTAATATTAAATAAATTTTTTAATTTTTACCTAACAAATATAATGAATTAAAAACTCTAATTAGATACTTAAATTAAATAAAAATAAAAAATTTCTATGTGACAGCAAAACGATGACTAAAATTTGGGAGGGGGGGGGAAAGAGTGACCAAACCACTTGTCAAACATTATTTGAGGATGGAAATGCAGATGGTGGTGGAAAAAGTAAGGAAGATTATGGTATTATATTGAAATTTATAATTAAAAATAAATTAGTAGAGCTAATTTTGATTTAAAAAATATTAATTGCAACTGGTTGTAGCTAAATTGTGATCGATTATGATATTATATTGAGATATATAAATTGTGGACAATTGGTCCTTTTCTATTACCCAATTTGTTTCTCAAAAAAAAAATTCAAATAATGCACCTCTGACCACGAAGAAATGTAGAAAAGGAACGCACAATGCTTTGCACGTCCTGTCCGATGGTCATCAACCACCGCTCCATATATGTCACTACACACTTTTTGTTTTTATTCGGTATTCAAAGTAAAGAACGGAAGATAAGGTAACTCATAAGTTAGGTAGATATGTTATTATTGTTGAGGGTTAATTCTTTTAGCGGTCTTTAAAATATAAAATTTATTATATTTTGGTCATTAATATTTTAATTGAATTATTTTAATCATTTTAATCTTTTTAATCCTTGAAGTATTGAATATGTTTTTATATGATCTTTCAAATTGACAACTTCCAAATTATTAACGATTTTTTTATTATAAACTTGTCATGTAATATTTAAATACAGACAAAAAATAATTTTAACAGCTCTGAATCAAAATTTGGGTAGCTCTTAACACAAAAATGTTTAATATGAATAACTTTTGACCAAAATTTGGATAAGTCATGATTAAAACTGTGAAATTTAGACAACTATTTAATCAAAATTTGGTCAAGAGTTATCTAAATTATTTTTTGTCTATATTTAAATATTGTGTGATAAATTTATGATAAAAAATCGTTAACAATTTGAACGCTGTCTGCTTGAAAGAACATATAAAAATATTTTGAATAATTTAGTGGCCAAAATAATTCAATTAAAATATTTGAGACTAAAATGAGATACACTCTATACTTTAAGGATCTACGCTACAATTAACCCTATTGGTGATTGTGTGGTTGTATGGGAGGAGGAGACACTAACTTTTGTTGCGCCCCTCCTCCTCTCAAATGTTTATATTTAATTAAAGAGTAATGTTATTGAAACTTAATTTACTATGACCTTTAAATTAACTGTGAGCTCCATCAAATATTGAAACTTGGTATTTATCCAACTATTCTAATAAAATCACTTCGTTAGGTCAGCGAATTATGTCATATTTTTAAGTTCAAATAATATTTTCCTTAATTAAATTTCTATCGTTTCTATCAAAAAAATTTAATTCTTTTTTTTTCTTCTCATAATTGATATTTTATAGCCTAAAAGATACGGGGTCGAATTTTAATTTAATCACTAAAATTTTAATTAGAACAATCAACGGTTTTAATTAACCCTTCCATCCAAATCTGTGTACTTCAATATAATAGAATGGAGCCGCGTGACCAATACGTAATTTATTTGAAGGAATATGCTCATCTTCTCAAATATTTTTCACCCTTGACCGATCTAGTTTATAATATATAATAAACTAAAGAAAGATCGGGAGCTACTATGACCACTAGTTATGATTGTGTTTGCTGACGAGACAAACATATCCTTTAGAATAACTCAATCGTCAGTCGAATGGTTTTATTCTAAAAATTTAAGTCACGGGCGATAACGTTTTTGTTTTTATATATTTTTTATAAAAAAAATAAGATTAATTTTTATTTTATTTTATTTTTTATGAAATAAAATATAAAACATTTTTGATAATTATTTATATTTAAAAATATATATAATATTATATATTTTAGTTAATATTTTAATTCTAAATACCTCATCTCGGGATGTTCTTTGTGAGCAAAAAAAAATTAGAGATGTTCTTGTTAACACAAACTCATAGACAAAATCCTCTTGCTAGGACACACACATACATATATACACACTGATCTATATATATAGTAGACATATACACACAAATACA